AGGACGGAGGTAAGAAAATGGTCAAAAGTGTTAGCACGCAGAGGATGTTCCCAAAGCAAACTGTGCGGATCCCTGCAGCTGCAGACGAGGACTTTGGTCTGGCTGAAACCAGCCTGACACAGTCAGCCCGTCTCTGTGCCCCTCGTGGGGTACCCCAGACACAGAGGGGTGTCTCACACAAGAGGAGGTAGCAACCGAGGCCCCTCAGGGCACAAGCTGATGCCCTGAAACATTCCGGGGACATTCACCGCACATTCTTCCCAGCCCACATGGCCTGGAGGGGAGCGGCTCCCTGCGAAGCCCTGGCCGGCAGCTGGGCCATCCAGGGCGCTGAATGTGAGAAATCAATGACCCCTACCAAGGCCCTGAGACAATGTGGCTGAAGAAAATACCCTGTCACATCTGACAAGGATGGCAATTGGAAGGGAATAGGCGGGAAGAGGGTTCCAGCACCCCAGCCATGCCAGCCAGCCGCCACGGCAGTGCTGTGCAGTGAGGGGAACGGCTGGAGCCGTGGTGCTGTCGTGCATTTGTCATCTTGCAAGTGAAATGGTATGGGTCGCCCCTGTCCTGCGAAGACACATTGAGACAAATGGCTGAGGGGTTTGGAGATTAAATACTTGAGGTAAGGGAACTTTCATGACACTCCTCATGGGTCTCACTCTGCTCCTCCTGAGTAGAGTTAAGCCAGCGCTGAGTAGTTTTAATACTCCTGCCTTGTACATATTTTGTGCACACACCGAGCTGCCACCTGCCTTCCCTGCTCACAGGCCAGACCTCTGCCCACCTGCAAGTGTCAACACCGTTCTTCAAAGCTCCTGGCCATTCTTCAAAGCTCTCTCCTGCAGACAGAGCTCCTCCAAGTCCGCACCAACTGGTCTATGGGCAGCATGGGAGATAAAAGGGGACACCAAACCCAAAGGCAGCTGCTGGGGGCCCGAGGGAACCAAGTCCCTCAATGTGAGAGTTTCCCAAGCAATGTGCAGAAGGGTCCATGCTCCCTGGGGAATGCAGGAGCCAGACCCAGGGGACACCTAAAGCATCCTGCAGCCAGCAGAATGTAGGTTTGTTGCTGCTTGTCACAACCCCCCAACCCATCCCCAGGAGGCACAATACCACCGAGATCACTGCAACAGCTCTGGAAGTTGTACAGGGCTTCCTTCAAGCAGCTGGAAAGCTTTGCAAAGAGCTGCAGTGTGCCAGGCCTCATTCAGAGAAAGCTCTCAGGAAAGGTAATTTTCCTGACAGCCCATGGTCCAAACCCACCAGCCATTAGAGCTGGAAAAGGTCGACATCTGTGAGAGCCTGCCTGAGCAAAAGCAGAGCTGGCATGTTAGGGTTCAGCCTCATGGGAACTTTCCCTATGCAATGTCTCTGCAAGCATGAAGGGGCTCAGGAGTCCCTTTCTCTTGCACACACAAAACCGTAACACGAGGTCACACAGGGAGCCCACTGGAAACTCTGCTAATAGTTTGATGGTTCTTGTAGCCAAAGACACTACCCACAGAGGAATCCAGCTAAGCTCCCAAGCAAGACATGTAAGCAGATGCAAAGTGTGAAATACAGGTATCTTCTGCAAAGCATCATCATTGTTATGCCATAGAGAGCAGGACACACCAAGTCCAAGCTGCAAGAGGCTGATGCAAATCTCAGGGAGTGTTATTTCAAGAAAGCTTTGCTGTCACACAGCCAGCTTTTGGCAAGACACAGCGCCTCAAGCAACGGCTCGTGCCGAGAGCTTCCCTCACATCCCCAAGCAGAGGAGCTGAATCTTCACTTCCATTTATTTTGCATAAACCTAAAAACAGCCCCCCCCCCCCCTTCCCCAACGAAGAATAATCAAGCTCAAAACAACTCCCTGCTCAAAACAACTCCCTCGGATCATCCCAGCTACAGCCTGTAATCCGCCTGCAACCCCTCTGCTTTCAGTAAGTACGGCTAGAGTCCTCTCCTCAAACACAGCCTCCTCACGGGAAGGGTGGGTGATGTCTCAGCCTGACCTAGGGTGACTCAGCACACCCTCACTGTGGTCCACAAGACCAAAAAGGCCGCCCAGGGCTGCACTGCTGCAGCAAGGGGTTGCCCCCTGCCTCCAGCCCCAGGCACGGCTGGCCAGAGCGCTTGGCCAGCTGCGGCTTCAGCCCCGGGAACGACAGATCCAGGCTGGAAGACGTCGAGAAGAAAAACCGTGCCGAGCTCCAAGCTCCAAATCAGCACCTTGAACCCTGTCCAAAAGCAAATCGGAAGTTAGCGCAGCTTCTGGCAATCAGGTGCTGCCTCGCCTGTGGCTGACACTGCTAAGCACAAGCTGACGACTTTGGCCGGAGCCACGGGCAGCAAAACCAGGGACACAGGTGGCTGCTGTGGCATGGGGGTCCTCCCAGGGACACTTTCTCGCAGGCTGCTCCCCTCCCCTGCGGATGGCGAAGGGATGATGTGGGCTCTGAGGGAAGCAGGCTGCCATCTGGATCCAGGACTATTCATCTCTGACGATGGCAGTAGCGGCTCAGTGCCCGGGAGAAGCCTCATTGTGGACAGATTAGAGGGGACACAGCGTGTTCGTTTCTAGCCATGCTGCGCTGCTATTACCCAGACTGAAAATAAAGCCTCATTTTTCATGCAAAGATGCACAGTGGTTAACACAAGAAAAGCTTGCCTGTGAGGCATGCAGGTATCAAACCAATTTCAAAACGGGTCTCCAATTACTACTGATGTTTATTTGATTTACATTTTTTTTCTGCCTTGCCAGATGTTTATGCTCTGAGGATGAAATTCAGCCTGGCGCCACTGCACTGGCATGAGGGTATAATAAGGTGCAAAAGTCTCCTGCTGCAGAGTGGCACGTTTCCCTTGAGCTGCTCTATTCCTTCACCACTTGTAGCCGTGGTTCAAACCGTACTGGTACAGCATGTACACAAAGAAGAGCGAGGGAGCTGAGCTGCTGCGGACATCAGAACTGGGCTTGCACGTACCAGCTGCCGAGCCTGGATTTGGAAAAGTCCCATTTTCCTGCTGGCGTAAGAAGCAGCCCCATGTCTCAGGAGCAGGAGTGGTGGCTCTGACCAGGCGTTAGCTTCCTGCGGGAAGCCTCTGGGGTGGCTCTGCTGTGTGCTTCCTTGGAGGAAAAGCAGCCGGCGGTGGGTTTGCGAGGCCCCGAGAGTCCATTTTGCAGGAAGTGCTCCAAGATGCCCAGGTCCCGTGGGCTGCCAGCCCCCCGCCCACCTGCGTGGCCACGTCTGCCCCCAGGGCAGCAGGTGCCGGCTCTACACCAGGATGGCGGCACGGTGTTGGGAAGGTCACCGGGGCTCAGATCCTCGAAGGGGTGTTGGTGCCAGACTCCAGTCGAAATGATGGCAACAAGGCTCTAAATCCTGCTCCTGCCTGGGCCTCCTCCGGGACTGGGGCTTCCTAACTGCATCATGGCAAAGGCCCGTAGGAGAGTTTGGTCTGTGGCATCTCTCTCCTGGAGGGGACTAGCATGTGGGAGGACACTTGTCTGCTCCTCCAAAAGTCTAATTCGAGTGTAATGACCCGACCGTCGCCTTGGGGCTGCTCCACGCCATTGCTACAGCCGGAGGCACACGGAGGGAGCCTGCCTGCCCGCCGCGTGGGAACAGAGGGCACTGCCCTGCCGTGCGCTGCCACTCGCTGCCGGTTTGCTCCATCTCCCCGCAGCCCCTCTGCCTCGGCGTGACCTGGTGCAAAGCAGGAGCACCTTTACACAGGCAAAACCTAGCGGGCAGCGGGGCGTGGGGTTTGGGCTGGCCACCCCGCCTCAGCAGGGCAGCTCTGCCCGCCGGCACGCACAGCGCTGCGCGCCACTGCCTGTCCCCATCCCGGGGAAAGGAGAGGGCGGACACTGAGGGCCCGAGTGAAGGCAGGGGATGCCCACAGGCGGGTGCGGGCTGAGGTCACGCTTCGTGGACACTCTGAGGCGGGCCGGGGCAGCCGGCAGCCCCTTTCCTCTCCCTCAGAGGCGACAGAGGCCAGCCAGGGGCCAGCCATTCTTTTTGGGTGCTGTCCCCCCCACCCGTGGAGGAAGCACATGGGTGCTCACAGACTCCACGCACCTCCCCGCTCGCCCCGCACGTGCCTGCTCCCTCCGTCACGCTTGTGTGTTCCCTGGCACACACCCACGTCCCCCCAGCACCCCCGCCACCATCACCGCCACCCCCCCCCCCCCCCCCCCCCCCCCCGCAGCGCGCACACACGCGGGCACGCGTCGCCTACCGATGCACACGCGGGCACGCGCCACGCACCCCCGGAGCAGCGCTCACGCAGGCACCAGGACGCGCCCACGCGGGCTGGGGTTTGCTCCCACAGCCGGGCTCGATGCGGTTGACACGCCAGCGGAAACCAGGGCACGGCTCCGCTCCGCATCCCTCGCAGCCGGGGCTGCGCTGGGGATCGCGCACCCGGGGCACCAGCGCACACGCCGGCTCCGCAGTGGATCACACGCACAAACCCTCAGCCCGGGGCTCACGCACACGCACACGCACACGCACACACACACACACACGTAAGCGCGATGTGGCTGCCAGGGAGGCAGCGGCGGGGTCAGGTTTGCTGGGGCTCTGCCCCCCCCCCCCCCAGCCTGCGCAGCCCCAGCGCCCTGCAGCCGGCCTCCCACTGCCCCGCGCTCGCCCTGCGCACAAACACCCGTGGGTGTGATGGGCCACGCCCCCGCGGGTGGGTGCCGGATACACACACACACACACACACACACACACACACTCTGCGCCCGATTGCTCCGCAGCCACTTAACTCCTTGTTGCCCGGCCGCAGCACCATCCAGCGCAGCCCAGCCCTGCGCCCCCCGGCCCAGCTCCACACCGTCCAACCCGGCCCCGTCCATCCCCGGCCCGGCCCGGCTCCCCCCCCGCTCCCCGCCGCTGCTCCCAGCCCCGCGGCCCCGCAGCCCGCCCCGTCGGACCGGCCCGGGGAGCGGCCGCGGTGCAGCTTCCCCCCCCCCCTCGCCGCCCCCCCCCCCCGCCGCTCACCTCGATCGGCGGTTGCAGGAGGGGGTGCCCGGGCCGGAGCTCCCCCGCGGCGGGGCAGCCCCCGCTCCTCGCAGCGTCCCGGCGGCTGCGGCTGCGGGCTCGCCGCGGGGCCCGGCTCGGCTCGGCCCGGCCCGGCCCGGCCCCGGCCCCGGCCCCGGCCGCCGCTGCCCCGCTGCCCGCGGCGCGGTCCGGCCGCCTCGCCCCTATGCGGAGGCTCCAGCAGCACCGAGGCGATGCCCATTCATTCAGCTTGTCCCCCGCAGCCCTCCCCTTCCGCCCCGCGCTCCCAGCCTCCTGGATGGAGGTGGCTAGTGATGCTGCAGCGGTACCCAGAGCCCCCGGAGAGTACAGCGCGGAGAGGAGGGAGGGAGAGGAGGAGGAAGGAGAGCAGAAGGAGGGAAGAGGAAAGCGAGAGAGAGAGGGAAAGGGAGATGGCTGCCCCCAAAACCAGAGCTGGATCTGGAGAAGACTCTGGGATTTCCACAAGGAAATCAGGGCAGGGATCGGAGCGGGGCCGGCACAGCACCCTCTCTCCAGCCCGGCACAGCACCCCAGCACGGCACCCAGGGGTGGTGTGAGGGTGGCAAGGGCAGGCAAAAAACTGGGAAATGCAGAGAGAGGGTGGGTGCGGCCCCATGAAGGGCCAGAGCAGTGGCCGAAACGGAAATGTCCTCCTCCTCTAAGTTAGGGCTGACATCAGCCAGGGGGTCACCAGCCACCCCAGCCAGGAGCTTGGCTTTAAAGACACGTAAAGCTTGGGGGGCAGCTCTTGCCCATGTTGCCAACCCAGTGCGCAGAGTCCGTACGCTTGGCCCCACATCTGCCCTTGCAGCCTCCCAGCTTTGCACCCCTCAGATGGAGTTTTCCCCCCCCCCCCCCCCCCCCCAGTCAGGACCCCCTCAAAAGACACCGGGGTCCATGTGTCCTGAGCCCCAAGATAACGTCTTGCACACCACATCAAAGTTTCTCATCTTTTCCTAATGTGGGTCTTGCTTAGCTCTCTGGAAAATAATCCACTGGCCATCTGCCACAGTGATTTTTGTTTACAACCTCACACAAATTAGGCTCAGCTGTTCACTTCTCTTTTGCCCGTGGCTTTTGGTCACTCCGCTGCATGTGTGTCTTCCTGGGCACCAGCTTGCCACGGGCTGGGGGTGACCTTGCCAGGCCTGGCAGCCAGCACTGGGCTGCAGGCAAGTGTGCTTGCTCCTCACGCTTTCTCTGAATCTTCTTAGGATGTTTTGCTCCCAGCTGGGTGGAAGGTATTCCCCCCGCCCACCCTGCCTGACCCCCATCCTCCTCTCCTGGGGAGAGCTGCGGAACCTGTCTGGGGGAACAGCCGCTGTATTTAGATGCCCCTTCAAGGTGTGTGCGGGACAAGCAATGAGCTTCTAAGTACGCTGAGCAGATGGGTCCATGCAGGACTTGAGCAAGAGCTCTTGAACTTCCCCCTGCCACGGATTCACGGCCTGGCCCTGGGCAAGTCAGGTATCTGTGGTTTCAGAGGTGTCTGATTGCTAATTCACGGACCTTGCTGCTTTGGGAGGCCTGACCAGGGCTGCTCCCAGGAGAAAGTGAGGTGTTCAGAGAGTCAAGCAGTCATCATTTCTAAAAAAATAACACTGCAGCCGCTGTGCACCTCCATTAGAAGATTCAGAGTCAGGCCTAAGGGATGAGTACAAGATGCTATGAGCAGCTATCATGGTTATTTTCTCATCACTTTGCCCTAGTGCTTTTGCAAATTGAGAGCTTGGCTTTCTGGGGAAGAGGCTTCATTCTCTAAGGAAAATGGAAATATACAGTTTTTTTTTTTCCTTCCTGTAGCAGATTCAGCAAAAGTGCAGCTGCCTTCACAGCCTTGAATACAGAATTGACCATTCAGTTCATCCCTAAGGGGAAATGACCAAGTGGAGAGGAACAACGAGCCCCACAGTGCGGCTCTCTGCACCCTCTAAAGTCTTTCTCAACCCAGGCATTTTCCTGTCCCGTGTTTCAGGGGTGCCTGGCTCCCTTTGCAAGGCAATGAAGGCTACCTGCATGCTTTCAAAACACCTCTCTAAATGCCCATCAGCTTCAAAATTGTTTTTCTTCTTAGATTTAAATTTGGCAGGTTATTTGTCAGTAATGGAGACTGGGACCCAGAGGCGTGGGGACACAGGAGAGCAGATGCCGAGTGAATGGCTTACTTCAAAAGGCACCACACTGCTGCAGAGGCAAAGTGCACTTCACCTCTGTCAAAGGCAAGAAGGCTTCTGGATCCCAGTGGCAGGGCCAGTCAGTCTTGAATCTTTTGGCTTTGAGGGACAACGTCCTTTCCATGTCCTGCCTATTCTACAGCCCTCCTGAGCCTTATGTCAGCCCTAACTGTCTGAAAGAAAATGAAGATGAAGGCATGAATAATGCTATTTATTGCTGATTTTACCATGAGTGTATGCATGCTTCTTCAGAAAAGCCACTCAGTGTCCTAAGAAGTCTCCAGCCAGGTGCAGTGCCCAGAGTGACGGAGAGCAGCCCTGGCAGGCTGGCATGCTCCCCTGTTGTGTTTTCAGCTAGCAACCCAGCAAAGGCCATGTGGAGGAATAAGCTGGTGGGATAAGGAGGGATATCGGGAATGAAGGGCAACTGCAGGGCAGCCCAAACCCTCACTTCTCAGGTGTACAGGAGTCAAGAGGAGACTTGGACATTAGCAGGAAAGCTGCAGGCAGCCACAGAGGCTTTTCCAAGTGAAGACAAATGACTCCCATTCCTGGTGATAAGGGAGGGAGGATTAAGGGGGCATAGGAAGAGGAGACACGTTCAAGACAAAGGGGAAATAATCTTCCCAGGGACTAGTGTGATGAGTATTCGTTAACATGTCTGCTGTCCTCAGACCAGAGAAAAGGGTGTAGCAGTAATCAAATGGCAGTGTACTTGAGCCCAGACAAGTATTTTAGCCGGAGCAATTAATACAAAGGGCTCTATGTGGAAGCAGTGTATGGAGACAACATGGCCCTGAGAACACTCAGGCATAGCTGGGATGAAGAAGCTGAGCTCACGGTGGTGCAGAGCAGCACAGAGGTCTTGTCTGCTCGGGAAGGATGGGGGAAGGCTTTGGTGAGAGGTGATGAACTCACTGTGCTGAAATTGGGCTGACAGGCTAGACCTCCACCAGAAAATGCCAGCCAGGCTGGCTGATTTTTTTGGAAAGAAAGAAACAAGTCTGGCACAGCACGGTAGGTCTGAGAGTCACCATAGAGATAGTGGTTGGAGTTAGTGGGTGGTGGAGAATACCCAGACATAATGTGTGAAAGGAGAACAGAAAGGGCTGAAGGACAGGATGCTGTGGGCATCCAGCAGAAGAGGGAGGCAGGCTTCAGGAAGAGGCAGAGAAGCAGAGATGAGAAAGTCAGGCAGAAAACCACAGAGGATGTCAGAGAAGCTCAGAAGGACCAACTTTCTAAGCCAGCGTGGCTGAATATGTGGAGACCAGGAGAAAGATCAAAGATGAAGACTGAGCAAAACTTTGAAACCATCATGAGAAACCTGGACACAAGACTCTGTGCTGAGCAAGTGGAACAGAAGGCAGAGACAATGTGAGTGTAGATGTGGAGGAGGACAAGGTCTGGGGGAGGTGGGGCAGCAGTCTGAGGGGATTTCTCCAGGCTTAGAGATGTTTGTGCTGTAAGCCTGGGGGGGGCCTAGCACAGATTAGGGAGAGAGCAGAGCAGAGCAGAGAAGAGGGAGGGTGTGAGGGGGATGTCCCCATGGGAGGGAAGGGATGGAGTTGCTGGGAGAAACAGAGGGATCCAGGAGAGTCCCACCAAGGTGGCAGGGGAGATTTATCTCCACAGAGCAGCAGAAGAGGATGAGCGTTGACAAGCCAGGATCTCTAACATCCCTTATGAAGACAGTGGCAGGATGATGTGTGGGACGTCAATTTGCTGAGGGGAACAGAGTCATTTTGGGAGGATAAAGCAGAACCAAATCCAAAAGGAAATGTTTTGTGTTGAGGAGTTGTCTTGAGTTTGGGACTTGCACCCTGGCACTGTATGAACAATGGGCACTTGGAGTGTGTGAGAACAAAAGCCACCGCGGTCACACAAAAGCCCTTCTATTTCAACTTTTTTCCTCCTGGAAGTTTGGCTAGTGAATGGCTTCACAGCCCACAGGACAGTCTTTGAATGTAGCTTACAACTCTGCTGTTAAGCAGAAACAATTCCTCTGGCACTGGATTGCTTCAGTTTCCAAGGGTGACAAAATTTGTCAAAGATGCTACTGAACATTTCAGTCATACTGGACCAAACATTCACTGCCAACAGGAGAAATGACCCAGCCTGGCTCTGCATGGGAAGCAAGCAAAGCTGGGGAGGGACCAGAGGACAACATATGGAGAGGGAGGTCAGAATAGAAGGAGTAAGAATAGGTGAGTAAGAAGGGTGCAGTGCTGGGTATGCACAAAGCAATATTGGCGCTGTTGAGTTTATAGGACCCCGAGACAACGAACCATAACTGACTGAGGGTGAATAAGGAAGAGACACAGTGAAACCAGATGAGGGCATCACAGGGAAGCAGCCATGTGTGTGCGAGGTCCAGACCCCGGTGCTCTCAGACACTTGGAGGGACAGAAAAGGGGAGATGGACTGAACACGGGATGGATTAGCATACCCCAAGCTCATGAAGCTCTGAGCTGATGTGGCTCTTTCAGTGAGATCCTACAACACTGTGCGAATTCAGGGTGCTGCAGATACCTCTAGGGACCACCGAGGGGGTGGAAGGCCAAGAAAATCTACAGTAGACTGTGAAAGATCAGAGGTGTGTGCACATCGCAGTGCAGACCTCCTGCACCTCCCAGCTAGGCAGAGGGCAGGCCTGGTTTGCTTTGATCTTCTGTCAACAAATCACTCAGAAGTCAACTCTTCTCCTCTCTGCTCCTTGCTGAAATCAAATGCTGGTGAGTAACAGCCTGCTAACTTAGCCACATGCTCAAAACCTCACCCTAGTCTTCCTGTGCTCTCTGTGTCCTGCTCACTGAAAATATCTCCCTCTGCCCCTGCCTTCTCTTAGGCAGCAGCTCTTACAAAGCCTGTTTCACCAAGTCAGAACCAGCCTCTGCTACCTTTTGTCATAAAATTCCTCCTAATCAGGAAATGGTTCATTCCAGACAAAGCGGCTTCGCTGGATGCTTGAATTCCACATTGTCTGTGAGGACAGATGGGGTGGTTATTTAATGGGCACCTACAGTCAGCCTATGGGTCTCTCACCCTGCCTGAACAAGCTAGACACCCGCAGCACATCTGAGGAGAGACATGTTCCACTTAGACAAGATGCATCACCTATAGTTGATGATATCTTGGAATAAAAAATACCCTGTGCCCTGCCTCAGAGAGTGTGCAAAATAGGGCACACTGAGAACTGAATACCCAGAAGGGTGAAATAAGTGGACTAAACTCAGTCAGATTCTCACTCTCACGTTTGCGATGCACCAAATTCAATTTGCACCAAATTCATGATGGGCCAAGCAATGAGCACAGCAGGGCTGAGAGTATAAGGCCATATCTAGTTACCTGATGGGCTGCCAGGCAGGAGGGCTGAGGAGTAATAAGACTTAAGGAAAGAGCTTAGTAAGATTCAGAAAGATGCTTAGACACTTACAAAGAAGCATCTGCAGTCACATCAGTCTGGAGAGGGAAGCAAACAAGGGACAGCAGGCTTCCTGCTACAGACCAAGAGCTGCTGGCCAGCTGGGATCTGGCCCCCACACGACAGGACTGCACAGTTAAGCACATCAAGAGCATATAATGACTTCCTTGGGAGCGTTTGCCATGAGCCACTGTTGGACATACGATGCTGGACCAGAGAGGCCATCACTCCCTCTCCAGTGTGACTGTTTGCATGCTTTTACCGCAGGAAGCCATGGCTTAGGCACTAGGAAACAGTTTACGATAGTGTCCAGCTGTTCCTTGAGAGATACTGGTATATTTAGTATCTGCAGAGCTCTGGGTAATAGTCTATGAGAAATGAGCCTGTACCAGGAAAGGAAGAGGGAACTGAAGAAGGGAGCTCCAACCTTCTTTCCGTTCCTGAGGAGCTCCTCCCGCTGCCCCACTCTGACTGCACCCAACGGGCCGGTCTGTGTCGGCTGAGCCGGGGAGCAGATTCACAGCGGCTGCTGCCAGCCCAGGGCAGGGGAGGGCACAGTCACAAGGGCTGTGCAGGGGGCAGCACGCTGTATCCATCACCACGCCTGACCTGCACCAGGGCCCAGGGATGCCAAAGCTCTGCAGCGCTTTGCTCCTGGAGGCTGTCTCTTGCTGCTCTCCTCTACTGCCAGCCTGGCTGAAGAGCTCTAGGGGAGGTGCTGCAAGCAAGAAAGGACAAAACACTGTTTTGCAAAGAGTGCAGTGAGTCAGTCAGCTAATTCGAGGCAAGAATCTCTTCCAGAAAGGAAAGATAAGGAGGAAGCTGCTTGTTCTGTAAGGATGAAGCCAGGGAGGCTGTATGGCAGCGTCTGCAGAGCTGCGCAAGGATCTCTGTTCCCTGCCTCGTGCTGTATTTTGTTCATCTGGGCTCCAGGCTACAGCTGCACCCATTTGCCCACTGAAGAGGGGGGCCAAGTCCTCAGACTGTGGGAAGTCCTGAGCTTGACCCACAGAGAGTAGCTGGGGCTCCTTTCAGCCAGGGATCAGACTGCAGTTTCAGAGCATCCTACTGGCTCTGATACCAAATTCCATTCCCTCACTGGTTTACGTTCAGTTTCTGCTGCTCCAGCATCTCTGGGAGGTGATGGGGTCCTGGGTCAACCACTCTGCATTGGCTTCCATCTAGCTTAGCTGCTAACTTCAGCACCAAGGAGTTCCTGTGCAATGAACGGTGAGGCGGCCCTCTCTGAGGCTTTAAATACAGCAGTGAGGATGGACACTGGGTACCTGCAATATCACAAGTGAGATCATTTCCTAGACGCTTGTTGCTTGGCAGCCAAAGGCTTACAAATGTCAATTTCTAATTAAAACCATGCACCCAAAATCTACACACCCTCCCCAAAACCCTGTATTTTTATACACCGCTCTCAGCTGCAGTGGGCACAGTAATAGCTCTCAGCATGCAAACATCCAGCATCAATCCACATTTCTGCCAGGGAAGATGCAGGTGCGATGTATGCAGCAGCTAAGCAGAAGTGCATTCAATGAAAAAAAACCAGATGCAACCTGATAAGAAGGGAGATTGAGGATGTGACCCAGAAATAGAAATGAGGAAGGCTTCACTGGAACACACAACAGGCGCAGCAAAGCCGGCATGCTAACCACAAAAATGACGGCTGCATAATGCCACTTTGCCACGTGGGATGTGAATGCTGGCGCCTGGACCAGGGGACAGGCTGCTCGGAGGAGCTGGCAGCCTCACTTTGCCAGGGCAGTGTCTGCACCCAGTGCCAGCCCGGCAGCAGCCCTCTACCCCGGGTACCCCTGTCTTCTCCGGGGGCCAGGATGCTCTGCTGGTGACTGGACAGTGCTTGCTGAAAATGGGGTTTCTTTATAGGAACTGGTGTTTTCAACACCAGGAAGCTGTGTCTGAGGATGAGATGATATGTCCAAAGTAGTGTGGGTCTCGCCCAGCCTGTTTCGTGGTTCTGCTTGGGCAGGAGACACAGTAAACCCAGACCCTTGTGGCACCAGTCCCCCTGGCAAAAGCAGGAGGTAACTCCATGGTGAAGTCTAAACATTAAAAAAATCAGCCTCGCTAAAAATTACAGTAAGATAAATTACCATTTTTTAAATCCACGTCATTGGATTACAGATTTGGAGAGATTAAAAATAATAATTGTTGGCAGCTGCATTTGCTTTCTGGTATATAAACCTTTAGAGGTTGTATTTCTAAGCTCTCACTACACGAGAATAATGCCAAGGGCAGAGAGAGTGGAAAGGAGGGGAGAGGCACTGAGACTCCCCCAGCAATGCCTCTCCAGGCAATCAGGTTGCAGGAGGTTACAAGTATTTGCAGCTACCAAGAAACAGGCAGTGAAGCCCTGAGCTGCCGTGGTGCCCCATGGGCAGCGGCACCAGACCCTGCCGTGGGCACAGCCGGGCTGCAGAGAGCACCGGTGCTTGCAGGAGCAAACTGCCTCACTGGAAAATTTATTTTATTTTTGGACAAAAGTTTGGAAAACCTCCTTTTAGCATTTTCTCACAGAAGAATTCTGGGTTTCTGCTTCTAACTGACATTCAGTTTCAACATCTGAGCTAGGGATAAAATGAATATTTTTACAACCTGACTGAATTCAAACCAAAATGCTTAGAAATGATGAAACTGTCATCTGCGGAGCAAAGCAGAGGTGGGCAGGCATCTGCAGCCACGTTTATGGCTGTGGAATTTTATTTGCCCAATTCAGACTGGAGAAGCCTTTCCTGAGGTGGCTGCTGGCCGGCTGGCAGCCCAGCCCCAGCCCAGCCCGCGCCGCGGGACACTTGCTCTGGGCACCCGAGCGCTCCCCCTGGGGCCCATGCTCTTGCTATTTTGGGGGTGTTTTAGCACAGCAAATAGGCCTTGGTACTAGGCTGATCTTTTCCATCTCACTGCCTGCCTCCCTTCACATTATATTCAGTTGATCTGACATCTGATTGGCAGGTCATACCTAACACATTTTTCTCCTAACTTTTCCAGTTACCTTGTGAAAGACATTCTTATAAAAAGGACTTCGATGCCGTATTTTCCTCAGGTGGAGTACACAACCCTGAGGTGGGGGCCAGTGTGAAATGTTTCTTCTCATAGATACACCAAGAGTAACACTTCTGTTGTTTCCTTGAAGGGGTGAAGAGTCTTACAGCATGTATGCTGTAAAATCATTCTTTAACTAGTAAGGCAAAAATGTTCAATGGTTAACAGTGGGACCGTTTTTTCTTTCATATGCATAATGGTCAAACCTAATTAATTACTACAGAAAAACTAAAATCCCCTTTTCCTGGTTCAGATACACAACTGCTTTATAAATAATGTATCGGGTGCATGTCAGCAGAAATGCCCTTCATTGGCTCTGTCTCATTAGCAAGTGGTGGCCCAAGGTGCGAGGGTATGGCAGCTGGATGTGGCCAGCAGCTGTGTGCTCCTGTCCCAGCTCTGTGGCCGGCACAGAGCTCGGAGCCTGGCAGGGGCTGCTGCTTCAGGCCTCCAGGCGTGCTCAGTTTGCTCCACTCTCATCCTTCAGCATCTTTTGGCCTTTCTAAATTCTCCAGAGCCTATCGGGTCACGTCTCCAGTTCCCATATCCAGATCTCATTCCTGGCCAAAGCAAAGACAAAAAAAACAACCAACCAACCAACCAAACATCAGGTTTTCTTCCCCTTTTGCAGGGTACTTCTTTGGGACCATGCAGCTAGGGAAAGAACCAGCTTTTAGCTGGAGATAAGAGATAAGATATTGCAACAACACATCATCAGTAGGGTAAAACTAACCTGTCTCACGACAGTCTAAGCCCAGCTCACGTTCTCTATTAGTGGGTGAACTATCCAACATTTGGTGAATTCTGCTTCACGATGATAGGAAGAGCTGACACTGAAGGATCAAAAAGTGACGTTGCTGTGAACGCTTGGCCACCACAAGCAAGTTATCCCTGTGGTAACTTTTCTGACACCTCCTGCTTAAAACCCAAAAAGCCAGAAAGATCATGAGGCCCCGCTTTCACGGTCTGTATTCGTACTGAAAATCAAGATCAAGTGAGCTTTTGCCCTTCTGCTCCGCGGGAGGTTTCCATCCTCCCTGTTTCCAGGTAAGCTTCAGGTCTGAGTTCCCTCAAGAAATTTTGCAGGGATTTGCAGGGACTGAGAAGCAGCAAACATGACATGTAGGATCACTAAGCTATCACAGAGCAATTAGCTTAACACCAGTGTGGAGGAAAATCTGGAAACATGATGAGGTATTTTGTTAAATGGATGGAGAGGTGTCCTCTGACTAGAGATGCTTGATGCAGGGAGTGAGTGTATGGATGGTTTGAAGGTGCAACATCAGCATCCAGTAGGCTAGGACCTACAGTTAATTATCTTAAAAAGCCAACTATAAACTTCATAAAAACCTATAAAAGCTTTATATAAGCCTAATAGAAATAGAAATAGCTGTGCTTTGTTTTTAAAATCACTTACAACACGGACCATTATTAGTCTTAATTATCTCCCTGCAGTGTGGAGATACCACGTTTTCATTCTTTTTTTTTCAATTTTTCAGACACAGAAACCACACAAGGCACATTTTAGAGATGAAATAGAAAGGCCATTGTAAAATGCAGAGAAGGCTGCAATGTCTCAGGAGCTGAAGGCCTCCCAGCTCCTTCAGATGACACATGGCCTGGGTACATAGTTACTGCTCCCTTCCTGACTTCAGCGTCCTGGGCAGCGAAGCAGCTTTAGGTATTTATGCCCTGGAGCTCCTGCAGTTCCAGGGCCCGGGGCTGGGTTTAGCTCTAACCGCTCCCGACAGCCCTGATGCAGCTCCATCTCACCCCTGGTGCAGCGTGACGCCCGAGGCAGCCGTGCAGCTGGGGAAGCTGCGCCCTTTCCAGCAACACAGCCGGGCCGCAGCAAGGCGGGCAGCAGAAAGGAGATGGCAGAGCCACCGTGCAAGTTGGAAACCACCTCCTGAACACTGGCTGCAGTTCTGCTTCCCTCAGCATGCACGGGAATTAGACCTGGAAAAAGCTCACAGCATCTTACTACAAATAAAGCCAACAGCAATGAGGTTCAAACCACCCAAAGAGCTCTGGTGAAGTGGAGGCAGAGCTGTGGTACTCCTTGCCATAGGACGCTGTAGGTGCCAAGAGCGTACAGGAATAGCTTGAGACCAGAAAACGGTTTGAAAGAAAAATTCATGAAGGTTCAACAATAACAAGTGTGAAAAATAAATAGAGAGAAATTAAATACACAGACAGGTTATTAAATATCCAGAAACCAGATCTGACTTATGAAATCCCTGAACTGAAAACGCTGAACCATGAACGGTGTGTCTGGTGGATGAGTCCCTGGAGCAGTTTGGGCAAGTTAGTGAGTCTCCAGCACGCCTGGCAGGTTCCCGGGGCAGGGAAACCCTCACCGTCAGGCACGAGCGGTTGCACGGGGGCAGCTTGGGCAGCTCCCAGTCCTGCCTGGGCCACCACCAGAGTAGTCCAGGCACACTGTCCTGTCCTGAAATGCAGAGCGACAGCCCTGCGTGTGGCCAGGGACATGCGGGACAGACTCACAGCTGCGACAGACCAGTCCAAGCAGGCATTATGAGAGTTGTGCTCCCCTTTATACCAAATTCATCATTTTGAAACTTCAAAACACACGGAAACCCTCAAATCCACATTCTGCATTCAAAGCATTGACACAAATAAGAGACTAAAGCCAAAGGGAGAAAAGCAGATTTTTCTAAATCATCTTGCCATTTTTAGTGATGTGCAAATTTTTTTCACTGACAGCCTTTTTTTCTCCTTTACTGCAAGCTGTACATTTCCTCCTGGCTGCTGCTACCTGCGCGGGACTGGGTGCATTAAAGGTAGCAGCTCCAGCAGAGCCCAGCATCCCTCCTGAGCCTCTTCTGGAGAAGCAGCGCTGGGTCCACAGCCCATGCCAGCTTGCAGCAGTGCCACTGGGGTGCAGGGGGGCCCTAGGTGAGCAGCAAGGCGGGAGTGACTTGGGGACCAGCTGAGCCAAAGAGCACTTTGCACTGGGGCACACAAGCAGGCACCATCCTGGGTGCTTCAGGCACAGCCCACAGTGGTTTTGGTCCTCTGAGGGCCCTGAGGTGAGTACACAGGATTCCCACGGAGCTGAGGCCACCAAGCTGGGGTGCAGTCGCTCTAGCTGGAGCTTGCCTGCTGCGGCCCTTCTGTGCTGCTGCAGATGGGAGTCAGAAATGATCCTGCAGGCACTGCTTCATGGGAACAGAAATTGCTCCTGCCTTTAACGGGGGCAAGCATCTGCGCACCGTGACAGCGGATCCCGCAGAAACTCTCGCCAGAGTGGAAAACGGTCACTTCATAATTTTAGCATCATTTCAAATGCAGCGATTGGAAGTGGCCAGGCAGAGCACCCCCGCTGCCCAGCAGCCCTGCGAGCCCTGCGGAGGCTTTGTACCCCTGCACTCATCAGCCTCTTCAGGAGCTCCCTGCCTCGTGCCAGGCAGAGGTGGGCTGTGAGGGCTGGGTGCTCTGGTCTGACAGCTCTGCATAATGGGACGTGGGTGCTGTCCCCCTGACAGGCTGTGGCATCTCGGCACTCTCCCAACTCCAGGTGCCACCAGCAAGTTTTGGCACAACCCTGCAAAGCAGGAGAAAGAAACGGATGGATCTCCAGTCGCATTAAGATGAATGCGCTATATCTACCAGCCAGGATTACCTGCTTAGCATGTACGTGAAAAACCCAGTGGAACAGAAAAATGCCAGGCTTGCCCCCTGGCCAGGGAGGCTGGGCAGCAGGACAGCCCAGCTGCCACCGGGAGCTCACCTGGGGACAGCTTGGGGCGAAGCCCCCCAGCGAGCCTTCTGTCCTGGTGGTGCTGCGCCTGTTTGGACGGGAGCCGGTGGCCACAGCAGGGTTCAGGATGGGAAGAGCAACAGAGCTGCTGCCTGGGGTTGGGTGGAAACAAGTGCAGGGTGGTGCTGTGACATTGCAGCCTGAGAAGGAAGCTTTCTGGATGTTTATGAGCTGCCAGGGCTGAACTGGGGCCACGCAGCTCACCCCAGGCTGCCTGCTGCTCCTCTGCACGGAGTAGGAAACAGGTCTTCTCACCAACCGTGTGAGGAGCGGCGGACTGCACAGTCCAGGGCAGCAGCCTGGCCCTGAAAATAAAGGCTTTGCTTCTGGGAAGCCGTGGCAGGTGCACCCACCTGATGAAAATGTGGCTTCCTGGCTGTGGAACCTTTCCCCGCGCCCTTGTTCTCAGGGCTTGAGAGTCATTGGGGTTCTGGGTCAAGAGGGGCTGGGACTGCCCACAGGTCAGATTGGGCTGGGGTGTAAACAGAGTCCCTGGGGGAGCCATTTGGAGCTCGTCCTGCCCGGAGCAGCGTGCTGCAGGGAAGGGCTCTCCCCTTGGGTCAGGACACTGCCCACGGAAACTCCGTGGGGTTCCCGCGGCTTGGGACGCTGCCCGAAGGTGTCCCTCGAGGTTGAGAGTCCTGACCTGTTGTTAGGGGAGTGACTGAGCGTTTTGGGTTGTCGTTAAACCCTGTTTAGGGTTTGGGGCTGTTGTTAAACCCCAGAAGTTTGTGTGGGCTCTTGTTAAGCCCCAGGAGTCTGTGTGGTGATTGTTCTCCTCTCACGGACATTTGAACCCTCTGTCTGTATGCTTGCGGAGTGTCGATTAACAGTCCATTAGGAAAGAAATTAGCAAATTGGGATTACAGTCCATATATCAGAGGAAAGAGTAAAATCAAGATGGTAAATTATTGTATGTTTAAATGGACTAAAGGACCTATCAGGAAAGATTCGGTGTATTGGCCAAAATATGGATCAGAAGAGGATTGGATTTGTTAAGCTCTTAATATTTGTTAATTCAAAGGAAATATTTAATCAAGAAGAAAGTGAATATGCCTCGTGTTGGAAGGGGTTGCGGAGATTTGGGATTTTTTTTTTTAAATTGAAGCAGGGGGAGCAGGTTGAAGAAGGTGAAAGGGAAAGGAAGGGAAGGAGATGGGACATCCCAGGACACTCCTGGGGAGCTCAGGGTGCACTTGGGATAACATCACAGACTCCCAGTGGAGCTGGGGCTGGTGTCTGTGAATGAAGAACAGAATTAGGGCCCAAAGGGAAAGTCAGAGGCTGATCGTGACTCCCTTGGATGCTGTTTTCTCTAACGATGCCATCAGTCCATGGAGAATCCCAGCGGTCCCAACAGACTCCGACTGCAGAAACCAGCTCCCGCTCTGGGACAGGAGCCCAGGGAGGGATGCCAGCAGCACCTGCTCCAGCCCCGTGTGCCTGCCACCCTTGCAAAGAGCACCAGCCTCAAGGAGGAGGAGGAAGCACCGATTTTCAGCCCTTCTGCAACAGCTGAGGGTGAGGTGGTCGCAGCCCAGGGGGTCACTGGGCTTTGTGGGCGCAAAGGGGAAGCACCGTGCCGGGAGCCCGCAGCACCGTGGTACATGGGTGCAGGCAGGAGGGTCCCCCCCGCCCCACCAGCCACTGGCAGGCAAGGGACAGCCACACCTCCCAGGGGCTGAGCCTCAGAAACCGCCCTTAGTACGAAACTGAAATCTGCATTAATTCTAGCTCAGGGAAAAAAAACTGACCTAGAAAATGAGCAATTTCAGAACAAATATAGTTTGGAAAACATAAGTTCAAATTGTGTTTTAAAATGAAATATACAAAATTTAAAATAGAATATTATTTTTGTTATTTTCCCAGGGTTACAAATTGTATTTCTTTACATTTCTCTCACTCAAGACGTGTCAGCAGCAGTACTGTGTAACGTGCATCAGGCACACACTGGGGCAGAGGATTCCAGCTCTTCCATTATTTTATTCACATTACTGTATTTGTTTTACATCATTCAGAACAGCTTTTACTTAGCACTGATTGAAACATCTTATTTTCTAGATCAAAGTGTTTCTTTGTGTTTTAATGAAATACTTTGACACAATAGCTTTGTGTTAGTTTAAAATCATTATTTAATATATTGAAAACTGCTGGTCCTCTAATTAGTACGCTGTGTGCTTTTCTTCCTATCTTGTTCAAAGTGTCAAAACATTTCACTACTAAACAACTCTATTAGGATGTATCAGCAGTGGTTGTACACACTGTGATGTGTCTTTTGATATGATGTGTACATGGGACCACTATATCAAAATAATAACAACAGTGATATAAACCTGAAAATTAGAATCTTGAAATGAAAATGATTTTTGAGTGTAATTGTTGTTTCCCAAGTGAAATTCTAAAAAATTAAAAATATTTCAGGATTCAGCAGGATTGTGCGGTTAGGTGAGTTTGAATGCTGCCTGTCTCTTATCCCCCTCTGAACTCAGATGAAGAGCATTTCAGGGAAAATGTTTGTGCAGCCCCAGGGCACTGGCACGAGAGGCTTGAGCTCTCCTTGCACACTTCAGCCAATGACACGGTGCCCTGCGCGTCTGTCAGCTCTGCACCATGTCCAAGGCTGTTTTGTCGCCTCTAGATCAGCTGCTGCTGTGTTTGGGGATCTTGGTCGGCTCTGCTGGGACAGCTGATGCCCTGCGCAGGCCTGCCTGTGCTCCTCGCTCTCGCTGGAGTCAATCCTGCAACATATAACCCGCTGCTTCTCTTAGTGATGTCTGATGTTGGGGCAGTCAGGCACTGTGGGTACACCACGATCCACTACGGATGGGACAAGGTGGTCTCTTCCTATAGATTTATTTCTCTGCCTGCCTTTACATCAGTATATGTCCCTTTTTTCCCACTCGAAGAGTGACTAATACATGCAATGAGACAGGGAAATGCTCTCTGCCAGTCTCCTCAGTCTTCATTATGAATGCAAGAATCATCCTGTTTTCACAACAGATTTTCAAAATGTTGCAAATATTTTCATTAAAAAATGGCCTGCTTCTCTAATCACTGGGGAAAGTATTTAAAAAAAAAAAACAAAAAAACACAACAAATTTTAAAGTGTGATTTGGATTGTGCTCAGCATGGAAATATCCATTTTGTGAATCTCAGAGAAAAGGCTCAATTTTAAGAACAAAAATCTCAGAAGTAGAAAAACAGTGTACCAGAAATTTTGGCTCCGCAGAGCTGAGATCCTCCCTTTTTCTGCACGTCTGAGCTCACAGTTCAGTATGACCTGCTTTGGAAGCATAGGAGACAAAAAGTCTTTGGCTTTATTAATCAGGGACCATATCATCCCTCCATATAGATCATGCCAAAGGTACGTCACTGCCTCTCCTGCAGACCGCAGAGAGGTACGCTCTCTGCTCTTGGTGGGAGTCTTATTTATTGCACTACAGATGAACCATGAAAGGATCTTTAATGCTTTTCCACCTACTGATCAGATCCTGTACCTCTGTTTATCCAGCCATGTGCTTGCCTGGCAGTTGTCTGCCGGAACCTGTCTAGCTAGTGATTCACCTTCTTGTCAACATACCTGGAGATTTGTTGGTGTTACAGCCTCCTGCCTATCAAGCAACATGAGATTGTTGTATTCCGTATATGAGCATGTGCCTGAGAGACAGAGTTAATGGATAAAAGCAATTTCATTATTCATCATTTTTTTGGCTACTATCATATTGCAGGACAAGAAAACTGCAGCATGAAGACATCTGTAAATGGCTCTGACAATCTAGAAATCAGATGCTGGGGAGGGACAGAGCCATTTCACACTCATCCAGGCTCCTTGTCTCACATACAGCTTGCTTAATTTCAGTCAATTCAGAAGGGTTTTGTCTAACCAGCTGCCATACAATCCAGGACTGGACTTCCCAGAGCCAGAGTGGGAGCAGACTGGGAGAGAAGGGGTCAGACAGTGCAGGCAGGTGGACAGGGAAGGGCAGGGCACCCCGGGCACCCCCTGGCATTGTCTCTGGCACAGCCCTTGGCACCTTCTGTTGAAAGCTGCGGTGCTGCTTGCCTGCTAATGCTTGCCTGCATTAATCAGATCGTAGACCATCCGGAGCCCTTGTTTATCTTCACAGATTCAGCAATACAAAAGGCTTTGTTCTGAGAAAAAAAAAAAAAAAATAATTGAAGGGAACTGTCCCATCAGGATAGTCAAAGGCTGTCCAGTGGCTGGGACCTGATCCTGCAGGGTCCTTGGAGCACAGATGGGAAGGTGAGGACAGTAACACACATCAGCAATAGTTATTCACTCCATCTCACAATGCAAGAGCTAAGCCAGCAAATAAGCTGTCACACAGAAGGTTTAAAACATGCAAAAGGAAAAACTCCATACTAATGTATGAGGAAATTGTGGATCTCTTGTCACAGAGCATCGTGCTGGCAAAGAGAATAAGGGGATTCAAGAAGGGATAAATCCAGCATCTGAGATGATGGTCTGCACACAATCTCAGAAGTCTCTGAACAAGCAGCAACACCTCCATGAGGCAGATGAAAAAGGCATTTGGGGCTTGCCATGTTTCTTACACTTTTCCCTGAGCATCCTCCACTGGCCACAGACTCTTCTGGCAGCAAAGCCTTGAGCTCTTAAGTTCCTTTCCTCAATACCTCTAACACGGGTATTCCTACCTCCACCCTTCGGAGTGGTGTCTGCTCTTTCCATCACAAATGTACAGCACCTAGTGCCTATTCTACAGTCTAGGAAGGTTTTGGGTATTGTGCAGTGCATGCAAGAGGTCACTGTGTGACTCCCTACATCTGATCTTTGATAGCGAGCTGCAAGGGAAAGCCATGCTTGCCCAAGCATGCCTTCCCCTGGCTGCAAAAACCAGCCAGACGCAGAGCAGGAATTCCTAGTCAGATGCACAAAGACATATTTTATTCACCTGGTGCATTCTGTAAAGCACGGTTTTGGCTCATTTCTATATTCATTTTGCATCACAGGTCAAAGGAAAATAATCCTTCCAGTGTTGCACCGTATGGTAATGCCTGTCAGGGCACAGCAAGGGCAGGGTGGCGTGGCTGGTGGGGC